TTTGTTGTTGGTAAACACTCTTCTGATAGCTTACTAAATTTAGCAGCTTCTGGTCGTCTTTCCTTACTATATGGGACGGAAGTACAACATAGTAAAAAAAGAAAATGTACATGGAAAATTTCGGATCCTCATAAACGTCATCGTTCTTTTCCAGCCGTCCTGGAAAAGAAAAAAAATGTAAGTGCATGTCGAAAATACACTCGTATGTGCGTAAAAGCACAATGTCGGCGGAAAAAAAATGGAAAATAAACTCATGAACACGTAATAGCGTTAAAAAAATTGTTTTTTTGTTTTGGTTTTTTTTTTTTTAAATAGAAATAAAAATATATAAGCATATTAAAATTGTTTTTTTTTTTAAAAATAATATAAAATGTCGAGAAGTGCCTTACGTGCAATAGTCGTTTAGATGTTCTGGAAATCTCAACCTTCTTCCAGGACGCGTCGTTTTAAGTTTATTTTCGGATACTGTCGAAGTATCATCGTGTGTGTTGGTTGTCGGATGAGGTATTATAAGTGTCGGAGTCGTGTCGTTCGATTGTACCGAAGGAAAATCCACGTAGATAGGATTTCCTTCTAAATACGCTGCTTTTAAGCGATCGATACTGATGCTATCGTTGGTTCCGTTCTTATCGACTATATAGTACTTAGATTCACGTTGAAGAACTTTGAAGGGTCCTTCGTATGCTGATTCGAATGGTCGTCGATGCGAGTCTCGACGAACGAAAACGTGTGTACTATATCGTAAGTCAGGTTGAACGAAAACATCAGTTGATTGAGGTCGAGTGGAAGCAGGTTTAACTGAACGCATTGCGTTTGTAAGCCTGTTCGTGTAGGAGGTTAGATCCATGTTCATTGAAGAGGACGAAGAATCCACGAATTCTCCTGGAAGTCGAAGTGTCGTTCCATAAACGAGTTGAGCCGCAGTGTATCCAATGTCAGCTTTCACTGCATTGCGGATACCTAGTAAGACGAGTGGAAGAGCGTCGGTCCACTGTGAAACGTTTGCAGCTGATAGTGAAGCTTTTAGTTGTCAGTGAAAGCGTTCTACCATCCCGTTTGCTTGTGGGTGGTAGGTGGTCGTTCGTAAGCGAGTGATTCCTAAAAGAGTGGTCAGACGACGGAAAAGATCAGATTCAAACTGACGTCCGCGGTCTGTAGTGATGGTTGAAGGGCAAGCCGAAGTTTGCTACCCATCGTTCGACGAAGGTGCGGGCCACTGTTTCAGCAGTGATGTCCTTGATAGGTACTGCTTCTGGCCATCGAGTGAAACGGTCTACGCAGGTTAAGAGATAAGAGTATCCAATTGAATTTGGTAAAGGTCCTACCAAATCCAGATGAACATGGTCGAAACGAGCATCGGGAGTTTTAAACGAGCCTAAGGGACATTTATTGTGTCTGATAACCTTAGATTTTTGGCAGCTTACACAGGAGCGTGCCCACTCCCTCACGTCTTTATTCATGCCAGGCCAGCAAAACCGTTCTGCTATAAGCTTGATGGTTGCACGAACACCTGGATGAGAAAGTTTGTGCAATGTGTTGAAGACATTGCGTCGATAATGTTTCGGCACGATTGGGCGATCCCTACCTGTAGATGTGTCACACAGTAAGGTTTCCTTACCTGTTCCCATCTGTTTGATGCGTAGTTTAAGTGTTGTGGACGATAACTCGTGCTGAAGATCAGTGTCTTCTTTTTGAAGCTCGGCGAGTTTAAGAAGGTCGACTCCTTGGAAACTGTTCAAGGAAGTTATACGAGATAAAGCGTCTGCAACTACATTGTTTGCTCCAGAGATGTGTTGAATATCTGAAGTAAACTGCGAAATGTAGTCCAGTTGTCGAGACTCACGTGGAGAGTACTTGTCAGAAGGAGAGCTTAACGAGAAAGTGAGCGGTTTATGGTCTGTGAAAAGAGTGAATTCACGACCTTCGATGTAGTATTGGAAATGCCGTACAGCACAATACATAGCTAGGAGTTCCCTACCGAATGTGCTGTACCTCGATTCGGTGTCTAGCAACCTTCTTGAGAAAAATGCCAAGGGTTGCCAGGAGTTGTTAACCCATTGTTGTAAGACTCCTCCGATTGCCGAGTCGGATGCGTCTACTGCGATGCTAATGGGTGCTCGGGTGTCCTGATGTGCGAGCATCGTTGCTTTAGCAATCAGTTCCTTAACTGTGGAGAATGCTTTTCGTGCGGTGTCGTTCAAATTAATGGATTTCGCATTTCCACGAAGTTGGTCGGTCAGAGGTTTCATAAGTAATGCGCATTTCGGTATGAAACGTCTATAGAAACTTACCAGGCCGTTAAACGTGCGTAATTGCTTGATGGTGGTCGGTTCTGGGTAATCCAGAATGGCCGCCACTTTGGTCCTAAGAGGTCGAATGCCTTGAGTATCGATAGTGTGTCCTAGGAAGTCTAATGAGTCGGTTCCGAATTGGCATTTCTGAACGTTTACAGTAATGCCATGTTTTTGAAGTCGTTCGAAAACAAGATCCAGATGTTTGAGATGTGTTTCTCTGTCCGGACTTGCGATTAGACAGTCATCAACATACGCGTGTACGAAGTTGAGACCTCGAAAAACGTCGTCTATGAATCTTTGGAATGTTTGAGCAGCATTCCTTAGACCGAAAGGCATTCGCAAAAATTCATAGAGTCCGAAAGGAGTTATGATAGCTGTTTTCGGTATGTCGTCAGTAGCCATAGGGATTTGGTTATACGCTTTAACCAAGTCGATTTTCGAAAAGACAGTTGTACGTTTCAAGGTAGCTGTCAAATCGTGAATGTGAGGCAACGGGTAACGATCGGGAATGGTTTTCGCGTTCAATCGCCGATAGTCACCAGTTGGACGCCAATCGTTGCTGTCCTTTTTAGGGACCATGTGCAACGGAGATGCATATGGGCTACTTGACGGTCGTATGATTCCTAAGTCCATCATGTGATCGAATTCGTTTTTCGCTAACCTTAGCTTTTCAGGAGCTAGTCGTCGTGCTTTAGAGAATACAGGGGGTCCTGTAGTCGTAATGTGATGTGTAACATTGCTGGTTACACACGGTAGTTTCGGTTGAGTTTGTTGTATCCCAGGGTACTTATCGAGTAGTGGTTGATAGAGTGGGTCTATCATATGTTTAACTGTGACTGGGGATACTCTACAACCAGTAAAAGAAGTTACGCAAACGGACAAATTAGTGTTTCCGTCAACTAGCCTCCGTTTGCGCGTGTCAATGATCAGATTGTGGTGTTGTAGAAGGTCCATACCAATGATTGGCATAGAAACATCTGCAACAACGAAAATCCAGTGGATGGGTTTGCGTAAACCCACGTTAAGGTAAACGTACCTTTTGCCATACGTAGCGATCGGTTTTCCGTTTGCCGCCTGTAAGTTAAGGGTCGATTCGTGTAGTCGGTCGTTAGGATTTGCTGGGAGAACGCTAACTTCTGCGCCAGTGTCGATGAGGTAGCGAACTCTCGTTGTCACATCTGAGACGAATAACAGACGGCTTTGTTCGCCGGCTACGGTTGCTGTTAACGCGTGCCGGCTTGGAAGTTTCCTGAATTGCTTTTCGAATCAGTCGGTTTCGTGTTGGGAAAATTGCAGGGTTTTCTGCAATTTCTGGAAAACTTTCCATACTGGTTATGATACCAGCACCAGTCGGGGTTATCTGTCTCTCGTGGTCTAGAGACAGATCGCTTACGAGAAATGCTTCTACGTGGTGTGCGCGATCTCTTACGGTCGGTACGAAGGCTAAGATAACGCGTGAGTGTGTGACATAAGTCGTTTATATCATTCTGAGTCGTTTGAGGCTTTTCTTTGACTGAAAATACCTCGGTAGTAGAAGGTTTCGTAATTTCTAAAATGCGGTCGGCAGATGCAGCTAGCTCGTCTAAGGCGTTGTTCTGGAACGAGACCAGAACTGCTTGCACCTGTTGGGGAAGTTTTGATAAGAAGAGTTGTTTGAATAGACCTTCGTCGAAAGTTCTTGGGCCTATTACCTCTCTCATCCGTTGCAACATGTCCGTCGCAGAACCGTGTTGCAGGTCGATATTGTTGAAGAGTTGATCTAACCTTTGTCGATCGGTTAGGTCTCCTCGTTTAAGAATCGAGCGTTTTAAGATTTCGTAAGGATCGGAAACATCACTGGTAAACATACTAGGTGTTACGTACCTGTTGAATTCGCGCGGTAGTGCCTTGACTACTGCGAGGAATTGCGCACGTGTGTCGATCACGCCGTGCTCGGAGAAGTCGGCTTCTGCGTAGCAAAACCAGGCTTCGATGTTGTCGGGCCAGAAAGGCATCAGTTGAAACGAAGGCGGGGACAAAGTCTTAAGCTTGAGTACTTTAGGTGTCTGTTCGGTCATGATGAAGTATGAAGTACGATAATGAACAAGGGGAAAAATATATATCCAGGAAAAAACACGAAAAAAAATCACAATGTTTAAAAAATTAAAAAAAATAAGGCAATGATATATAAAAATCCCAAAAAGGAACAGACTCACAGTTGCAATTAGGTGTACCAGATCACGTCGGTTTCACCAATGATGATGTCACAGGTATTCAGTGTTTGACAACGCTTCTACCAGTAACACCTTCTAATATATTTCGTTCCCGCCCAGAGAAATCAAAAGACAGAGTCGAGGAGATCGGAAGAGTATATTTGACGATGACCAATATATCGGAATTCTCTGATCTAATCTGGCTAGCGATTGCGGTTGATGTTGAGCACGGCGTTACCACACGTGATCTGGTGCGGATGCCTGACCGAGCGCCTTCAGCTAGATGAGTCCACTAAAACATATGGTCAGCATCCAATGTCGAAAACTTAGTGCTATTTATTTTGGGGATTTATTTACCGCTACAATATCACTGAAGATTTGTCCTATACCATGCATCATGACGATGGCATCTACTTCGTTACTTGAAGAATGGACGTTATCAGACATAGTGTAGCTGAACTCAAGTCAAGTCTAAAACTATTGATTTGACCGCTTCTGCAAAACTTTACGAATTGTCGAGGTGATGCACCAATCGTTTTACAACGGTTTGACCTTCAAGTGCCCACATCTTTAATAATGGACAAGACTGTAGCGGTAAATCTTTGCTTTCACCCTAGATATAAACTTTGCAATTAAATTCTGATTTGCACGGTCTCTTTATTTTGTGAAAGTTTTCGGGTTTTTGTGCCATTTCTACACATTTATCTATAGCGGCTTCCCCAAAACGGATAAAATTTCGCCAAAATTTGGAGATTGGGTAACTCCATGTTTCCGACTCACCCTGACTATCCTTACTATTGTCTTAAATATATAACAGGTAATAGCCAACAGGATGAAGAACAAAAGAATCCTAGATTTTGACTTTTCTCCTACCTCATGAGTTACTGAAATCAGCGTCATATCTGCGTGAATGTCCTCCATGGTCACAGTACATTTTCCACTTGTAAGACAGCATCTAGAAATAATCTGTCTTCAGTGGATTAATAAGATTGTCAAATTACGTGCGATAACTTATTGTGTCGATTGTACTCAAAAAGCTATTTTTAAAAGTACAGATCCACTTGTCACCTCTGCAGTGCCCCTTCCAGCTATATAGTTTAGTGAAGCCGATTGGCTCTCCTGGGAACACTTACTGATGAAACGGCACAACTACCGGGGCCCAATATCTGTTTTAGTTCTGGGTTCTCGTCGTTTTGCTTCCCTTCCGGTGATTTCCTATCACTAATGGACTATATAGCAATAACTAATTATTTCTTCCTATATAGGTAATGCTTTCTGACGATCCTTATGACATGATTTTGAATTTTCATCATTTCTCACTCTTATTTTACTTTTTGAATTCGATTAGTCCAGGGAATTGTCTCCTGGGTTCAGATCCATCTTGTTTAGTTTGTTATCTGTTGCATGCTCTGGTTGGCATGTTTTCATCCTTTAGCCTTATACTTTTTCAAGCAGTCTTTCGTCGGACATTCATACTCATCTGATATGGGCGTTTATGTCACTTAGGGACCATGATCACCTCGATAGTGACGATTCATTTCCTTGTTTGTCGCGAAAAGTTGGTTGAAATGATCATTTACGTTTATTTATTTACTTGGACACAAACATTGGTACAAGGGGGCACGAAGTACGTATGGGCCGCACAATAACAATGAGGCCAGTAGCAGTTTGGTTTGTGTAAGGGCTGTGATACTGTCCGAGTGCCCAAACCGAGACAGGTCCCATTTAAGTAGCTAAGTATCAGCCCTCTTTTACCTATTATACGCGGTTTATACGTACCAAATCTGTCTAATCTTAATCTACTGGGTGTTTATGCAATCTATACGAAGTTGCTGCTCAAGCGTCTCCATTTCCCGTAACCAATTTTTAATGCATACTTTCCCTGAGTTATCCTTAATTTCTATATTACTATTCATCACTATATACATAATATTTCCCATCCTTTTTTTTGGTGTGTACCATTCATCTAACCTGTTCTCAGCTAAATTTGGTACTCTTTTTAAACTCATTTACTGTTATCTGCTTTCTACTACTAGTCTCTAATACCATACGTCATAAAATGTTTAACTCTATTTCTATCTTTGTTGCATCCTTTTGACCCAATACTATTGTTTCTAGCCCGTATGTTAGGATGGGTGTTATTACTGTTCTTATCGGCTTTTTTTACTATGCCAATATTATTTGACCTTATGATTAGTCTCATTTTTATCATTGCATGTCTTGCTTTAATTACATTTTCCTGGATCGCCTCATCTTTTAGACCATGAACAATGGGACCCAAGTACTTAAATTAGTTCATGCTTTCAATTGTTGCATTGTCTATATGTACTATCCCTTTCTCTTCATCTTCATTTGTGATCATCGTCTTGGTTTTCTTATGGGGTATTCTGATGCCAATTCTTTCAAGTTAGTACATTGTGAAGTAAAAATCTGTTCCTGTCAGATGTTATTATGGATCACCAAGAGCTTCCTCTACACTTTCTTGTATGTTTCTGTATAGTTTTAACTCATTTATTGTTCCCATTAGCAATGCTTTTAGAACTGTATACAATGCTTTGGTTAGTTCAATAAATGCGAGAACGATTTCGGTTTCAGAATTTAAAGTGCATTGTGTTATATACCTAATAGTTGTAATTACTTGCGCTGTAGACATGCTTCTTTGGGAGCCAAATTGCGTCAATGGTAACAACTCATCTTTTCTGTCATTCATTCGGTTACACGCCACTTTAGCTGATACCTTTCCATTGTTGTCAAAAAGGAAAATACTTCTGTAATTGTTTGAATTATTCCTGCCTCTTTTGTTTTTATTTAAACTGCTAACATCAGCATCTATTCTGTGCGTTGGTATTGTGCCTGAGTTTTCCCCAAATTCATTCATTCTCTTTAGGAGTACTTTTTTTTAGCCTGTCCTTCCCATTTTCTAACCATCTCTATAGTTATGCCGTTATTTTCTGGTGCTTTATTATTTTTCATTCTCCGTATAGCTTAAGCCCATCCATTCTAAAAATAGAACCCTGATCACTCACTTATCTGTCATTACTTATGATACATTCCATTGCTTCAAATAACATTTGATAATACTCTTTTAGTACTTCATTTCTTTAGTTAAGCATCAAGCACTAAAATTAACAACGCATATTAGTCTGTCCTTAGAGCTATTTCTAGCTGAAAGTCTAATAAATAAAATATGCAAGCTGTTATATGTGGTCGTGTTCATATAAAATCTCTAGATGTATATTGTTCCGTTCAAAAGATGTACTACTTTTGTCAAAGTGCTATATACATTTCATGTCCCTCTGTAAGACCTGATAAATGTACATTCCTCTTGATCTTATAGAACTTCGCGAATCACGTAAAGCACTGTGGTACTATAACTTTATTGTACTCAAAGGCTGTCAAATATTATCAGTGCTGCTACACGTAGGATTTGTCTCTGTTCATATTCATAAAAACATAAATCTTGGTTCTATAGTGAAATGAAATTGCATACAGTGATATAACTGATATCATATAAAAAGAAAGTTTAGTGTAATATTTAATGTAGCATTATAGATCATAAAACGGAATTTGTTTGAACGAATGATTTTACCGATAGACAGCAAACACGCCCTACACTGTTTACTGAGGGTCAGGTATCCAGTGAGTACTATCAACTTGCGGCAAAAAAGTTATCACAAAGTATATCCCAAGTGTCTTGTTAAGAAATATTCTGTGTAAACCATTGACATCATGATTAATTTTTATACAAAGTCTGTTAACATGCCCCCAAATGCCCTGGTATGGCCGGGAGTGGGGTGTGCCCGCCCTCCCTCTCAAAATGCTCTCACACGGTCACGCGTATACAGCCTCTGCCAGGGAAGTCCTATTCACTGCCTTCTCGTGGCGGGGGTGTTGTTTACGAAATCGAGAGGACAAAAAGCGAATGTCCGGCGTTTTAACTGGATTCCAAACCAATGGTGCACATGGGCTCCAGTATCCTGCGGGAACAAGTGGCGTATGAACCAATCGTTGGTCACCGGCTACCATGGAACTGCATCTCTTCAGACCTTTAGGTCTAAGGCTCGGGGTATGGCCTCCTAAGAAAACTGCCTGCTTCGGTCTGGGCACCCGGGCAGTATCCCAGCCCTTACATAAATCGGATGATTTATGTGGCGCATATGTATTTGGTGCCTCCTTGTACCAATGTTTATGTGTCTAAATAAAATAAAATCTGTTAACATTATGAGAAAATTATAAGCGTTAGATCAATGTATAGCGATTAGAATGACCAATGTAAATGAGTTCATATATTTATTCCAACAGTCCTATTAACACAGTAGAGCTTGATGCATTACTTTGTTTCGTGAAATAATGAGTTACCCTTGCTTTTTTAACTTCTGTGTGATAGAAACTAATAAGAAAGCACTGGCTAATGTAACATGTCGAATAATTCTCATTCTTTGAGGATGAATAATACACATTTCTCAGAATCTGGTAAGCGAAGTTAAATGAACTCGTTGTTTGTTAATTGAGGTTCAACCCCTAATTTATTAATATTTAGTCTCAGAATTCTTTTTTTTCACTCCTAAATTGACTGACACTTTTAAAGTATATTATCATTTTTATTATCAGTTTCTTACTCTATTGATATTTAGTTTTGCTCGACATTTGCCCTACACCAAGGCAGAGCCAATATGAAGTTGTGTGTAAATTACACATTTTATGATTTCTGCCCCTGTCAATTATCACGTGACAAAATCGTCAATCAGAATACCGAGTTCTGTCACCTTGTCCCTGTTATAAACCAATGACAGTAACCAGCACCAGCAGCCTTGAATCATTATTGGTCCTTAATAATAGTAGCTTCTCACCTATCCCTGCTCGTTGATTTCAGAACACAATATCAACCCTCATCTTACGAATAACATATTTCAGATATTCGTAATTTATATACAAGTAGACTAGACCTTATCACGCCATAAAATAAAAAATAACAACTATACAAGATCAGGCCAAAAGTGGCTGTGAGTATAAGAGACCGGAACTAATAGATTGGGAATAAATTAAGAACAGCAAATCGTATAATACTAGCCAATAGTTGAAGTGAAAGGTTGTGATATATATATAAGTAAAAAATATTTGTATTTGAAACAGATTTCTGAGCATTCTGTTTATGAGAATACCAACATGTAAATGTCATGAAATTCTGCATTAAAGTTACAATTTCACTCGCATGTTACTTGTATGAATGAACGTCACGCTCATTTTATTTTACTTATCATTTTATCCGGGATTTTGAAATTAATCATTAAGTTTTATGTAATTTCGTTCCATTTTCAATATAGCTATAGCTTGTAAAGATCTGCTGAGTTGGAATAATATCCCAGGTCCTGATATAGTTATTTCCAGGTAGTTTCATTGATCTCTGTTGGCTAGAGGTTTAAGACACAACCCTTCTTTGTTTTTAGCTAAACATATATTTTATCGCTTTCAGTCTAGCTTTTGTTTTATGCAAGATGTTTATAGTAGCTACATTTTTATGATCAATAGTTGTGGTGACACAGGTTTAACTTATTCATCCTCATTTCCAACCGTAAACTTGTATTTCAGTTCATTCAATGTTTTCGCACACGTGTAAAATGCAATGCAACCCATTCGCTAAGTACACGTCAAGTCGATTTTGAGCGTCACTTTCGTATAAAAGTCAGTGACACTGTTCGGTTATATCAGAAAAGGTAAAACTGTACCCGAGGCTGAAACTCATTTGTTGAGTTCAGTAATTTAATCACCAATCCACCTAACACATACGTATCCCTAAACATTCATCATTTTATTGAACCCGATCAATAAATTGATTATTTACTTGCTTGTATAAGTCGTACCCTACTGTATGTGTTGTGATTTCAATAAACAAATGTCTTACTTTATAGTTGGTTATCAGCAGGTACAAATGCTGCTTCAGGATCGGGTTGCATCGACACCCGAACTAATGATAGGGAGTGAAGTAATTGAGCGTGTCGACCGCTTCTTATCTTGGGAGTCTCATCAGCCCTTGTAGTCCGGTGTGTGACGAAATCTCAGCACGGATACAGAAAGCTCGACTAGCTTTTGCCAACTTGCGTCATTTATGGCGTAGGCGAGATATCCGTCTATCAACCAAAGGACGTGTTTACTGCGCAGCAGTTCGTTCCGTCCTACTTTATGGCAGTGAAACATGGCCGGTAAGAGTAGAGGACATTCGTAAGTTACTATTATTCGATCATATATATCTTCGAAGCATTGCTCATATATCCTGGGACCACCGAGTAACTCAGTTGTTAGGAAACGGGTACTGGGTAAGGTTGGCAAATCAATTGATGAAGTAGTGAAACTTCATCAGTTGAGATGGCTGGGACACATGTTACGTATGCCCAACCACCAAATGCCCCGACGTGCGATGTTTTATGGTGTAGGAGTAGGTTGGAAGAAAGCTATGGTCGGCCAGACCAAAACATGGCACAAATCCATAAAGTCATTAACAAGTGGGCTGAGCCATGTTGGTAGGTGTAGACAAAATGGTTGGGATCCGTGAGACGATAGCAAACGATGGTTAGAGACCTTGATTGACATGGCGCAGGTGCATCCACTCTTTGTGTTTTCCCAAATTCCAATCTTCTGAATTCTTCATGTCCCCTTTCTTCTCTTTCCAAATTTATTTCACTGGATTATACTCCTTAAATAATATCTTCAAACCCTAATCTTTCCGATTACTGCTTATACTTTTACTACCTCTACCATTACGGGATTTGAATCGACAACTGCATCTCTGTGCTAATGTGGTGTGGCAACTCGAACTGATATACGTACGTACGAAATTCTACGTTGTTACTGACTAACCGACCAGGTACAAATGGGAACTTTTAGGTTCTGTAACATTTCTGGACATATGAGGTTTGCTTCAAGGGGCGCACTTACACAATTAATTGGACATAATATCAAGTTCATTTAAGCTGAAATGTCAAAAGTGAATCAAACAATAAACCAAATTGTTGTGGAAATTCACTTTTGTCAAACAAGTATACCAAGTACTCGTTCGTTCATTTATTTATGGATAATGCTTGTCACCTGATTTGCTCGGTACTACCCATTAAGCTCCTAGGGCGCACGAATTTCGTAGGTAATTCTCAATTGGTTTTTTAAGACTAAAAGTTACATATTAATTCTCCCTTTCCCATAATATTCTTGCATTTCAGATAACCCAACAAACTGAACTTCTGACAAAACTACATTATCCGTCATCTGTTTTCTGATCACGAAACAAATTTCTGTGTATATAATCAGTCAACATAATAGAAATTATACCTGTGGCGCTAAAAACAATTTCCAATGTGTATTCCTCATTACTTGATTGTCGGTGGTGGCTTGTCCGGTTTAGTTACTTCTTACCTCATCTCGTTAACCCGACCATTGGGGAGTTACCGTCTAACAGTTTTGGAGAGTAGCAGTAGGTGGGGTGGTTGGATTCAATCAGTTAAAAATATGGATACTGGATCAATCTATGAAATTGGTCCACATAGCGCTCGTGCAAAATCTGCCACATCAGGTCTTTTGATGAGAATAGTGAAAAGTTTGCATCTCGAAAACTCACTTGTATGGATGAGACAGGGTACAGATGAAGCGAAACGATTAATCTATATAAATGGCCAACTGTTGCCACTGTCTGCGTTCAATTTTTCCACTTTAAAACCATTCACTAGGTCCAACTGTAGTTTAATCATCAGGCGGTTATTTTCTCGACGCCCACCATCTCAGTCAGACTGGACTGTTGATGAATTCCTTCGCTCTCGTTTTGATTCCGAATTCGCTGACTACTTTGGCAGTGCTCTGATGAGAGGTATCTTTGCTGGTGATTCACGAAACCTTAGTGCTCGTGCTTGTTTGCCTACGGTAAGTTACCTGTTTGTTAAGATGATAATAATTTCAAGAATACAATTATGACAGTTTAGTTCTAATATATCCTGCAAGTTTTGTAGTGTATTCTCATTTTCATCTATCGCATCTACTAAAAAATATGATAGTCGAGATTATTGGCCTGAAAAATGGCAGGTTCGGAATCACTGTTAATTTTTCAGAGATATTTTAGAGTCTTTCAAAGCATACACATTTAACAGGTTAATAGATAATTTGATTTGCTTTCATAACAACTGTTTTCTGAAAGTGCATTAATTTTTTTAGCATCCTGTAAGCTTCGAGTAAAGCAGTTTCTAGGAGTGCTATTAAGTTACTTCGACGTAATTTTGAAACAGGTTTATTTTTTGAGCGTTTTCATTACTATTCACTTTCCCATTATGGAAATCATTGACCAATTTTCGGAATCTTGAATACCTGTGTATGTTGTATGTAGAAGAAATATTAATCGACATTATCCTTCATGTAAAATGTTCTTTTCAGCTTAGTTGTGGTTGAGACGGTTACCTGATGAGGCTTAATCTCCAGGTATTTGCGTAGGTCGTTGCAATCATTAGTTTACCAGGTTACGAGTTTTTAATGCTTCCATTTGTCTTTTTTGATTTAATGTTTATGACATCATCTTATTATGTATTCTTTCAGATGGTGAAGTCGGAAGAATATGGACCGAATCTTATTCTCGGGATTCTACTTTCATCGATAAACCGATCTTTAGATCGTATCGTTATACCAAATATGATTGACGACAAACTCCCGCAACTGAATAACTTGATTCCATCTGATGCGATTGCCTGGACTTTATCAGGTGGATTGGAGACACTGATTAACACTATTGTAGATCATTTAAGTAGGAAACATCCACACATCGATTTGAAGTTAAACTCTTCCGTTGAAAAATTAAAATCTCTAAATGGCTGCTTTGAGTATACATACAAGGTCATCGGTGATAATGGTAACGACAAAGAAAAAAATACAGCCGATATAGTCTTTTTTTGCTGCCCATCCTTCATTACAGCAAGCATTTTGGAAAACATACTGACTACTGAAACTCTAAGCTATCTGAAACCCGACTCTATTCCATGGGGAAGCATTGTCAGCGCTGTCTTAGAAATAGATGACTCCTTTACTCCCTTAGTACGTGGGTTTGGGCACTTAGTACCGCGTACGGAAGATGAACATATTTTGGGTGTAGTATACGATTCCTTTGCGTTCCCGAAATTGGATGGATTTAATAAAAATTTACGATATACAGTAATGATGAAACCATTTCGTGAATGGCTCGAAGCCTCCACAAGTTTAGGTTCCTCGGAACACCTGAAAAACACCATTGAAGAAGTTGCGAAAACCGTCCTTATAAACCATCTTAAAATACCGGCTCCGGTCATTGTTGGTCGTCATATTAGTATTCTCCGTAACTGTATTCCCCAGTATCCTCCAGGTCATTTAACTAATATGGCTAATTTGCGCAACGGCATTCGGCGAATTTCGAATGGCCATAGTTCTGGCCGAAGTGGTATATATCTTGTTGGTAATTCGTACGATGGCGTTGGGTTGAATCATGTTGTCTATAGCGCTGCATGTGCAGTCGCAGAAGAGTTCAGTTCATCTTCATGAAAATAGTTTTTTAAAACCACTGTTCACAAACCAACTTATGTACAATACTCTGCTTATTAATAGCACTAACGTATGAAGATGTCTGCTAGAAGATTATGGATGTAAAATAAACCATATACATTTTGAAAAAACCTGTTTTTGGTTTTTGTATTAAAGTTACTACATTTTCATCCTTTTCTTCAGCACATAACAGGATCTTGCAAATTTGTAGTTTATCATTGGAATGCTTATCATATTGTGCAAATATATCCCCACTAAGTGTTTTTTTATTTTTTTGAACTGAGCGTTTTGGAAACTGGATTGAATAGTTGGTGACGAAGATAGGTATCTCTTGATAAGAGAGCTTCCATAATTAGAAGTTGTTTGGCCTGTGTGAAGAAAACTACAAAACTGACAGATCTTGATTACCAATGAGAAAAGTGAATTAGTTATCAAATGGATGACTGTAGGATTGGTTTAACATTACCAAAAAACTATTATGCTTGATTTCGATATTTATATCAATCATCCGACAAACATTTATTAATCCACTTGTTGTTTTGAATCTAAGATCAGAAATACTGCTGTTCGTTTCAGGTTTTGCAGGAGATTTTGAGTGATTCTGTTCAGTAGTAGGTAACTGAATTATTTTTATACCTAAGCTTAATTAGCTTATCATTAGTAGTTATTTATTTGAGCACATAAAGGTTTGTACAAAAGGGCACCAGAATATATATTCGCCACACAAATCATTTAATTTATGTGTGGGTTGGAATACTTGCCGGGTCCCCGAAGCGAAGCAGTTAGTTTTCTTAGGAGGACCACTCCCTTACTTTTCGACCTAGAGGTCTAATCCACAAGCCAGCGTAGCAAGGTTAGGGGATGCGGTCCTGTGGTGGCCGGTGACGAAGAATAGGTTCATACGCCATTTTCTACCTCAGGATCTTGGAGTACATGTTTACCCATTGGCTTAGAATCAGGGTTTTTCAACGCCCGTAGTTGGATCTTCCATACCCATCAATCCGGTTTAAGCGCCGGACATTAGCTTTTCATCCTCTCAATTTCCTAAACACGAGAAGGCGGTGAATAGGACGTCCCTGCCAACGGATATATACATGTGGCCGTATGACAGCGTTTCAAAAAGGGGGGGGTGGACTCTTCCAACTCTCGGCCGTACCAAGTCATTTGCTTAAGCTAGTTGTGTTAATAGCACATTGTATTGTTTAGCAAACCTAAACGTCTAGTCACTTTAGTTCTTCAAAGGTGGGGTGCGATTCTACAAAAGGAACTTAAAAGTTTTAGCCTGACTCAGTTTGTAAAGTCCTTAATCTTTGACTGCTCGATATTCCCAGCGTCCTTTAGGAAGGAAACCTAGTTCCAGGTGAATATTACATTTTCACCGTCATCTCAAGTTAGTATTCTATTACGACGGGAGATTTGAAGCAGCACTAATAGCATTGTTATTTCCATCTCCATATTTGGTTAATTATTTGTTATCTGATAAGTTAACACACTACTTTGGCTGAGTCAGTCAACAACGTAGAATTTCGTACGTACGTATATCAGTTCGAGTTGCCACACCACATTAGCACAGAGGTGCAGTTGTCGATTCAAATCCCGTAATGGTAGAGGTAGTAAAAGTATAAGCAGTAATCGGAAAGATTAGGGTTTGAAGATATTATTTAAGGAGTATAATCCAGTGAAATAAATTTGGAAAGAGAAGAAAGGGGACATGAAGAATTCAGAAGATTGGAATTTGGGAAAACACAAAGAGTGGATGCACCTGCGCCATGTCAATCAAGGTCTCTAACCATCGTTTGCTATCGTCTCACGGATCCCAACCATTTTGTCTACACCTACCAACATGGCTCAGCCCACTTGTTAATGACTTTATGGATTTGTGCCATGTTTTGGTCTGGCCGACCATAGCTTTCTTCCAACCTACTCCTACACCATAAAACATCGCACGTCGGGGCATTTGGTGGTTGGGCATACGTAACATGTGTCCCAGCCATCTCAACTGATGAAGTTTCACTACTTCATCAATTGATTTGCCAACCTTACCCAGTACCCGTTTCCTAACAACTGAGTTACTCGGTGGTCCCAGGATATATGAGCAATGCTTCGAAGATATATATGATCGAATAATAGTAACTTACGAATGTCCTCTACTCTTACCGGCCATGTTTCACTGCCATAAAGTAGGACGGAACGAACTGCTGCGCAGTAAACACGTCCTTTGGTTGATAGACGGATATCTCGCCTACGCCATAAATGACGCAAGTTGGCAAAAGCTAGTCGAGCTTTCTGTATCCGTGCTGAGATTTCGTCACACACCGGACTACAAGGGCTGATGAGACTCCCAAGATAAGAAGCGGTCGACACGCTCAATTACTTCACTCCCTATCATTAGTTCGGGTGTCGATGCAACCCAATCCTGAAGCAAAATTTTGCATTTCGAGGGGTAGACTAGCATCCCGAACATTCTTGTATTGTTGCTTACGGTGGTCAGAAGACTCTGCATTTTGTCAGCGTCCTCACCAAATAAAACTATGTCTTCGGCATATTCTAAGTCAACAAGTGAATCTCCCAGTAAAAGTTCAACTCCTGGAAGTTTAGTTAAGGAATATGTTATCTCTAAAAGCACGTCAACGACAGTTAAACAAGAAAGGAGAGAGTGGAAAGCCCCGACAAACACCACTTGAGGTAATCAATTCTGATGACAGTTCGCCATAAGCTCTCACTCGACCAGTTGTGTTCGAGTAGAGAACCTTTACAAGGTTAATTTACTTCTTTGGTACTCCTTTCAGTGACAAACACTGCCATAGAACCTTACGATCAACAGAGTCAAATGCCGCCTTAAGTTCGAGAAATACTACGATTGTGGGATGTCTGAGTGTGCCTATATTCTAGGACCTGACGTAGTGTGAATATCTGGTCTATACCGCCACGTCCAGGTCGAAAACCAGCCTGGTTTTCTCTAGTCTGCTCTTCACCAGCTTTAGTTCGGCGTCGATGTATTATTGAAGCTAATATTTTAGACACTATATTAGTCAAACTGGTTCCTTTAAGATTGTCACAAGAGGACTTTCTTTTTTTCTTTCTTCCTTTCTTATAGACTGGCACAATCAGTGATTGAGGCCAGTCAGATGGGATTACGTCCGGTTCCCAGATTCTACCTAAGACCTCAGTCAGTCTCATTCCTAATACTGGACCGCCATCCTTAAAAATCTCAGGGGTGAACCTGTCAGGGCCTGCTGCTCTCCCACGCTTCATATTTCCCATAGCTTTTTCACCATCGTAAAGATTTGGAGGACTTACATCAACTTGCCATTCAAGTCGAATGGAGATCGTGGGAAACCAAAGTGTGGCTGAAGGGCAGTTCAACCGATCCCTAAATTGTTCTGCCCATCTATCCAATCTCCTGGATTGAGAGTGAATAATATGTTCAACTTTTCCCAAAATAGTTTCGCTAACATTTGAGTTCCTAGTACCAGTTTCCTTGACAAGTCTGAACAGTCGTCTGTTGTTGTCTATCACCGCTGCCTTTCCCATCCCTTGCTTTCGCTACCCACCACTGTTTGCCACCATTGCGTAGATTTCTTATCAGCCTGCGCTTAAGCTGACTCCGCTCATCGTCATGGTCAGAGCCAGATGGGATGAGTTTTCGAGCATCTATCAGTGCGGTAGATCCAGTGTTCCTCCCTAACCTTATGGTTTACCGTACTAGCAGATATCACTGCTGTTTCCACAGCTTTTCGGATATCATTGCACGCTGCTTTGGGGTGGGCATCACTTACATTGGCTGCCTAACTGTTTTTCTAGTTGTACCTTAAATATATTCTTAGCTTGGCTACTTTGGCTGAACATTTCACTTACAAGAAGCGGCTTAAATTTGATGGATTTTAGGGACGAAATGATAGTGTATCTATGGGGTCATCACTCGCCTCACTTCTAGCCAAGTATTTCATGGTCTGGTGTGGAAAACGCCGCACCTAAACCCACAAATGGCAGCCCTGGTACGGCCAAGAGTGGGGAGAGTCAGCTCTCCCTCTCGAAATGCTCTCACATGGCCATGTGCATACATCCATTGCCAGGGACGTTTTACTCAATACCTTCCCCCGGCGGAGATGGTGTTTACGAAATTGAGAGGATGAAAAGCGAATGTCCGGAGCTTTTACCGAGTTGGTAGATACGGAGGACCCACCCAGGGGAGTTGGGAACACTGATTTCAAACCAATGGTGCACATGGGCTCCACGATCCTAAGGAAACAAATGGCGTGTGAACCTATTATTGGTCACCGGCTACCATGTGGTTGCTCCCGCTAAAGTTGCTCCACTGGCTTGTGGATTAGAATTTTTGGTCAAAGACTCCGGGTATGACCCCCTTAGAAAACCACCTACTTCTGTTTGGGCACCCGAGGAGTATCCCAGCCCTCACAAAATGAATGATTTATGTGGCACAAATATATTTTGTGCCTTCTTGTACTAATGTTTATCTGTTTAAATAAATAAATTATGCATGAAAGATATTTCAGTTATGCTTTTATCGTCTGAGCAAAAATATCAAACTCAACAGCATCCTCGAGGAGTTAAATAGCTGCAACCAGTCAGTTTGGGGTGGAGGATCATGTGTTACCAACAGATTGTAAAGAAGGACACCTCATCAGCATACGAAAGAAAGGAGATCCCAGTAAGTGTGAGAACTAAGGAGGCATCATACTACTATCAATGCTTAGAAAAGTTTCCAACAGAATGTTGTTGAACCACATGAAAAATCGAGTTGACTCCCAGACTCGAAATCGATAGATCAGACTCCGTAAAGATCGGTCGCATTACCGACCAAATCACTGATCATTGTTGAGCAATCAGTTGGGTGAAACTCGTCACTATACATCAATATGACTGACTATGAGAAAGCGTTTGAAAACTTAGATAGGAGAACCTTGTGGACTTTGCTCAGACGCCATGGTACACTTGAGAAGGTCGTCAGCATCTTATGGAATTCATATAATGGACTACACAGCAAAGTCGTGCATGAATGACAGATGCACTCCACGGGAAGACTGATTTCATACAAAATTATTTACTCTCATTCTTTCTTTTGATGGTTGACTGGATTATGAGGACCTCCACATCTGAGGGGAGGCATGGAATACAGTGGACAACTGGGATGCAAATAGATGACTTGGAATTTGCAGATGACTTAGCTCTCATATCCCATTCACACCAAGAAAGGCAGATGAAAACAACTAGTGCAGCAGCAGACTCTTCATCAGTAGGC